ATTTTTAATGTTTATTAATGTCAAAACGAAATGTTTTTATATACATATAGAATTGTGAATTAAAACAATTAAACCAACATCAGAAAGAATAACCTATTACTCAAATCATGGTAGGTTTAACTTACCTGCTGCTATTTCAGCATTTGTGATAGTTACCCCTATTGTATCCAGAACAGTCCCTATAAGTCCAGGCAGATGGACTGCAACATTTAATGTTTTATTCCCCTCAATCATGACCTCTGCCCAATGGGTCACCTCTGTGGAAGCTGAAAACATATACATTGTAAAATTATAAATTTGCTGCATGTTTTATTTGTGTGTGATATAGTGGATTTTAAAACTAGATTTTGGAAGGGACAGTGTCTGGTCAAATGAAAACTTACCCACATATGAAGTCTGTTAGGTAACAGAAGAAGAAAACAGTCAGTACTTTTGTTTTTTAGTCATAAACAAACGATCATGTATAACAAAGAGAATGGGATTCTTACAGTATGTATTAGAAAACATACATAAAATACTGTAAATAATAACATTTAAATGAATTTGAAGCATTTAGGTGATGAGTAGTGTTAAATGAATTCAATGGCATGATCATCAGTCAGAGCAGTATGTAGTACAGTATGTGGCAGTCAGGCTATTACTATTCATGATTTATATTATTTTAGGATAAAATCTTTTTTTTATTATATATATTGCCTTTATGAACTTACTTGGCTAAAAATGAATAGCGCAGCAAAAAGCAGCATTCCTGCACCAGACAGTGTCTTGATCCTAAGGAGATCGCATTGAATTTTTAAAAAGACAGTCACAAACGTAGACCTTTAAGTGAAACCTTTCTCTGAACTTTAGTAAAATTGTATGCCAAATTTCTATTGACAGAAAATCAAATTATTTTTATATTATAATACTATAAACTGGGATACGCCATCTCTCACTTATTAAACCTCATCAAACCATGAAACTTTAAAAACTTTGCCAAAGCTAGATGCTGCCTTTCAAAACACCAGCTAAATAAATTCATATGGAAACATGTTATTTTGTTCCCATAATTGTCATAAACTGAACATAGAAGATATCACATATTAAGAAACAAAATTATGATACATTGTTTGAAGATCAAATACAAAACTAATAAATTCATAAAAATTTATTTGCTGAATTTGAATGACACAATGAGGTATAATATGGTTTGGTGAACATATTCTGTGAACACCAAATATATATATATATATATATATATTTGTAAGATAAGAGTATATATGTATTGTAAGATGAAACTTTTAAGATTTTTAAAATAAGAACCTAAATAATCTTATTTGACTGCTTTTCTACAAATATATTAACCAAAGACAAAAATACTGACCTTACAATCTGCATTTTAAAAGAGAGGATCAGCAAGTTTTAGGCAATGTTATCTGTCATAACAACATGTTCCCTGTGAACCAGTTTCCAGAGTGAAAGGTGGTGCTGAATGAGAATTACAGAAAGTTGACGAATGCAGTGGGGCAGGCAAAAGCTAATTTACAAAGCTCTCTCTCACATTTGCATTTTACATTCCCCAAGTCCATAGGCCACCTGGATAAGTTAACACACAATAGTCATGGCTTCAGACTTTCCATTGCGATTTGGCTAACAAATGTAGCTCAGAGCTGCATGCTTTGTTCAACTATGTTTGGTTAGATTGTCATTTGTGGCTGATTTAGATAAATCATTTTCATGTTTAGACCTTGCTGTACTTTTAGAAATAAGACTTTTAGACTTAAGAAGTTCTGCTGTTTTTGAATGTTGAATACCGGGTGGCCTGTGTACGAATTTGTTTCATTTCGAGCTTCTAAATTGTGTTCGAGATAAAGCTAGACACAATTCAAATTAACTTTCGGTTTATTGATAATAAACTCAAAGTGCCCATTTCAGCCTACTGAAGTAAAATCTTACTTCCAATCTGAAAGATTGTATTTGCTCTCAGATCAAGGGGAAATAACATTCTCATATATTAACCTTACTATACCTTGTTTGATTTGTTGTTTTAAACCTCCAGTGATGTGGTTATGTTTCCCTGTTAGGGTGACCACTACCGCATTCAGCTCATCTAACCCACATACGACAATGGAAATATGTGGTAACATACCATGTTTATTCAGCATGAGGTGAAATCACTGAGCCTCATTATTTGGCTGTTGTGGAGAACATGAATATGGACAGTTGCATAATGTTATGAAAAGACAGAATAAAAGTGTATAAGGATTATAACATGTACCAATGTTAAAGTGTGTGGTTTTTATTACACACAATACAAATTTAAATCTAACTGCTGTATTATTTACATCATACATTCTGAGTCCAAGTACAACTATATAGATTCAAAAGATTTTTTTTTTCTCATCAAAAAGTTACTGTAAACATGATTACTGTAAGTACTGTTTACAGTACTGTAAACATACATATATTTAGTAGAACATTTAATGAAAGTAAAGGTTTAAAAAAAATATTTATTGTTAGGGAACACACTTGCAAATTAGTGTCTTGTTTTCTTCAAACGTATTTGTTTGTTAAATAAGCATCCATGGAAATGTATCTGTTTTACATGCTCATTCAAAATGACAAAACATGCCCATGAAGGTTAATAATTCCATTCAAGAAACCAAGTAAAATGTAAGCTGGTATTTTGTTGTCATTTGTTTATTTCCTATTATTTTATCCTATTCTATTTATAATATTCAAAGGCGAGGTTGCATTCCATTCAAAGCTGTAACATGTGATGAAGCTGAATGAGAATGTCTTCTTTCCTATTTATTAATTTTAATATGGGTCATTTTTTCTGTTTTTATTTTTAGTGTTTACCATAGCAATAGCCTGTATGTTAAAGAAAAAGATTAGAAACAGTGCTTGTACAGAAATCAACTTCAGTACTCAGATCATGAGGGAGTGTTTAGAAAAGTTTTTTTGTTTTTTTTGGAACTTTCTCAGGAAGTGCACCAGAGCAACAATATAAACAAACCCACAGCACCACAATTTACATCCTTACCAGTATATTCAGAAATTGATGTCAAACCAGTGACTAATCCAATGATGACCATCTCAAAGTGTTCTCACCAAAATGAAAGGCACACAGCAGACATACAGTATGCAAAATTCAGACTGTGGTCATTCAAATTCAAAATAAAATCAGCTGTGGATTAGAAGTTCCTGTAAAGGAAGTAATTAATAGTACCAATAGTAATAGAAAAATACCAATAGTACTTAATAGCAATTAATATTAACAATAGTAATTCATTCAAATTCTTCAGTTAAAATTATTATATAATACTTTAAGAGACTTGCACATTTTGTTCTTCAACATAAATTATACACAGTTGTATTAATAATATAGAAATTTGTCTATACTTCCAGGAATGTGTAATTGTCTATTATGTTAGTGAGGTTGACATTTAGCAGTGGGAACTAGGTTGTGCAGGCCCAAATGTCACATGACATTATGACTCACACTGAGGGGAAGTAAAATAAAATAAATTATCAACATTTATTTTACCATTATGGTCTATAATTCTGCAGCTATGAAAATGAATAAAATACTACAGAGCAAGTAATTTAATTATTCATTTAAAAAAAAATGCATTTCATTATTGGTGAAACAATAAAATCATTTTTTTATTTGTTTATTTTTTAAACAAATCAGACAGAACAGAACAAAACTGTGTATAATATAACTATACAAACTGGAGAGCAAATCTCTAGGGTCTAGACCCATCCAATCATGCCATTGTAATAATTATAAAATGTATTCTTAATTAAAAATCAAATCTGTAAATTTTTTCAGTGATGTTTACATAGTAGTAGTTTAGGAAGTGCTTTTGAAAAAGCTGTTTACCATTTAAACGAGTAGACTAGGTAATGAAGCTGATCATGCATTCATAAAAGTATCTGAGCAATAGGAGCTGTTCGAAGATACAACTGAGAAAATGCTGGCTCGAGATAAGTTGTACTCATCTGCAAATAGATATTTGTATGTTACTTAAAATATATTAGCACACCCACCCACACACACACACTGTCACGAATCCGGTCCGTGGACTTCCGTCCGATCGCCACCAGAGGTCACTCGTCCATCATATTGACTCTCTCACTACACTGACTGTTGCACGTCACCACGGACTACATTTCCCATGCACCATTTCACTAATCACATGTTCACCTGAAACCAATCACACACACTACATAACACCCTCTCAGTTCCTGCTCAGATCGCCGAGTATTGTTTAGCGTATCACTGTGTCAGCGATAGCTACATCACGGAGCCAGTTCCCAGTTCTAGTTCTCAGTCTAGCCTTGTTATACCTGATCGCCTGTTACCTGATCTTTTGTCTGTTGTGGATTTTCCCTTTGTCTTGCCGTTTCGGACTATGTTTGCACCTTGCCTGGACTATTGCTTGTTTGTGGATTACCCGTTTGCCTCGCCCTCTGGATTACGTTCGTCGTCGTTTGACCCACGCCTGTATCTGGATTACTCTCTCGTCTTGCGTGTGCTACTTCTGCTGTTGTTGTCGACCCTTGCCTGTTTTTGACCACGTCTGTTAAATAAAGCTTTGCATATGGATCCGCACGCTTCCTCTGTTCTCTCCGTAACAAAACCTTGCGAGTGTCTAAGTAAAAAAAAAAATACTACATCCAGCCGGCCATATAATGTACATTCTTTATACTTTACTTCAGGGTCCTGATCACCCTGTTAGGGTTTATTTTGCGATAACATCAACTGAATGGATATTGTGTATTCCTTATTAAATGGCAAATAGCTATGGTTCTCTCCGTAACACACACACACACACACACACACACACATATATATATATATATATATATATCAAGTCAAGTCACCTTTATGTATATAGCGCTTTTAACAATACAGATTGTGTCAAAGCAGCTTAACAGTATTAAATAGGAAAATAGTGTGTCAGTATATATATAATTTACCAATTTATAATTTATCCACTTACTTCTTCTCCTTAGAAAGAAATCCTGTCCACTTGAAGATGATGGGGTGCATTAGTACTCTGTAATTTAGAGATTTAAGATGTAAACTGAGTACATATATCACAAGGAAGATCTCATGGATCAGATGCATTGTTTTGCTGTCATTTACCCTGATACGGTTAGAGCTGGAAATGTTCCTTAGTGACAGTCTTCCTGCCAGAGCCATACGGATCTGCAACCATATATAACAAAATGAGTTAAAGCACTGAAGAATTGCTGAATGAAATTAATTTTAATGAAATGATTTTGACAAACTCATTTGTCAAATTGTTAAGCAACAAAATCAATTCATACCTTGCTGTCTAAAAGTGTTCCAAACACCAAAACAAAGAATCCCTGCAGAAGTGATACAAATATATGAGGAAAATGTTACTAGTAAATAATACTAATGCTGTTGAATTTCATATTCATAACAACATTGGAAATAATAATAATTATTTACATTACGGCTTTATAATGGATCATTAGAATAATAGAATATAATAATTATTGCATTTCAATTATTGCATTTAAATCAAGCACACAAATTATAACCTTAAAGTCAAAATTTAAAAACAGAACGTTGTACCTGCAGTGAACTGAGGATTACAAACACCACATGAACGCCTAAATCTTGTGACACCATGGTTCCAAATCCAAATCCCCATGTTAGACCAAAGAGAGAAGTCAAAAAGGCCACACATCTGGCAATAACCACCAGGGCATGTTTCTCATCTGGTTGAGTTGCAGCACCAACTCCTCTCCTCCACATCTTGTATAGAACCACAATCAAAACCACAAGGTTTATGGCTACAATAGTGAGATCACAATGCCAGTAGGGCCTTTGATTCATACCAGTTCAGCCAGCATGCATTTTTTTTGGAAATATAATTTTGAGGTCCAGCTGTTGATGCAACAGTAATGACCGCTATGAGCAAAGGTGCACCATAACCGACTATAAAGGCAATGACAATCATTTTGGCCCTTGACATTTGAGACAAGACCATGACTGTACGATAAAAGAGTAACAGTGCTGACATTAACATCCAGAAGAAAAGAGCCAGGTAAAAAAAGTGCATGAAGAAAACAGCTGGACTGCAACGACCCACTGAGGTTGGCTGCTCTTGTTCTGTGATTGCAGCTCCAATGATAAAACAGATGTTTGCGATCAGCAGGGACACAGCAATGTTGACTATGGAGACATGTCGCATGAACGATTTCTTGTCATTGACTTCATACAATAGTCTCAATAATCAGGCATATAATCAAGCTGGCCATCGAAATAGCTACACCAATGTAAGTTATATAGGCTAAGGCTATGTGCTTAATGTGAAATGGTGACATTAGGATTGAAAAAGAGGTTGTGTGGTTGCATTCACAAGTAATCTTGCCAATTTCATTCCTTGAGGGCTTTGCTTCACATACAGTGGAATCCCATGTGTTGAGACTAAAGTTCCAAAAGACTCACTGAGGATTTCCCAAAGACAGATCAGTAATGTCAAATGTAAAAGATATGCTGTTAAGCGTTTCATTAACCTTAACAACAACCGCATCTCCATTGATGTGGGAAACTAGATTCCCACTATTATGTCTAGGTAGGACTTTGACAAGATTTGTGAAGACAATAATGGTTAACGAGGTTGTTTTAAGAACCTGTGGTATCAGAATCTCAGTAGTTGAGTTTGGCAGGTTTGATTTCCCACTATATGAGTTCTTTATTACAGTTCTGTTCAACTCAATGGATGTTTCAGTAATCGTAAAATCAGCATCTGAGAGAGAGCCGTTACATTCTCAATAGCGCTCAGAAGCTAAATGCTGGTGTTTTCTTTTATCAAACTTTGCCATGATGCAGCAGCTTTATCTGAAACAAGGATATCCACTGTTTTAAGGAAATCCTGGAAATGCAATAGAAAACCATGTTTAGTAAAAATAAATGTATTTAATAGGATGTGACAGTGAAGATAATGCACAATGCAGGGTAGATTACTTACAAATTGTAGTCTGTTACTGATTCCAAATTCCATGACAAAAACTGTAGTTATAGTAGCATAATCAATTACAGTATTACACATTTTAGGTATAAAATCAGACTACTTTTGATAACTTTTGATTACTCTAACTCATTTATCACATTGATTTAAATATCTTACCATATCGATATAAAATACAAAGAGAAAGAAAATATATTCCACTTGCTGTTATTAACATTGTAGCATTTGGACCAATCAGACACACAACTATTTGTTATATTTAACAAATAATCTCTAATGCCCCCTTCACCTAACCAAAGGGCCAACTATGAGGGTCTATGGACACCTTCCCCCGAAGTGCAACTAACACCTCAAAAGGGCAGAACAGGCCTCTGGTTCCATGGCAACCAAAGACAAACCATCTGATAACACTAGTTTTATTGCTCAAAGGAATGTGGGCAGAGCACAACTCACAATTCATTTACCCTTAGGAAAGACACACAATGCCCATAAAAATGGACTCTTCTCTAATTAATTCATAGGAAAACCTTTCTGTGAATGAACACCAGTGTTGGGAGTAACGCATTACAAAAGTAATAATATTACAGTAGTATATTACGTTTTGCTATAACGCAGTAATATAACGCATTACTAATAAAATTTGGGTAATATTATTACTCGTTACAATCTCAGTAACGCAAGTTACAACAACATATTTTAACTCTATATTAAGTGGTGAATTTACTAACACCGCAAAACGGCACCAGAGAAATAATTCCGCGGGTAAAATAGTTCGTCTATTTCCTGTTGCTGGAATTAGATGGTTGAGATGACTGCAGAGACTGATTCTACATTGGATCTCAGCTGATGTCTCTCTTAGCTCTTTTTCACTTTCCACTGGGAAGAAACTCCCAATCACCATCGAGTCAGAACATCTTTGGAGTCCATCACTCTTCAAACCCGGAAGAAGGTGATCGCGACTGCTACACCACCGAACCTCCAAACCATCAAGACTTTAATCCGAGACTGCATCCGTACGCTCGTTCCAGGCCAAGGCAATGCAAGTATCGTACATTTAACTAAACGAAACAGAGTTTTAGTATAAGCTGTAGACCCCGTTCTAAAACGGCGCTGATGGTTTCATCAAGATGCCCTTTCACAAGTATGAGTGATTGTTTGTTTGTTTGTTAGACTAGTTTGTGTTAGTGTTTAGTTAATAAAACTCTTGTGCACAAATTACATGAGTTTCTGATTCTGCCTTGCAAATTAATGTACCTTTTCGATTTTGATCCTTACATGCTCTAATGCATTAATACTGTATGAAAGTATTTTCTGTGGCCACGGAAATATCCTTTCCTAGAGTTGTTATGAACTTACACTGAATGCTCGCTGGACGAACAGATTGGCTGATGGCAATTTAATTCTGCTACAGTTACTACTGGCAGCTGACATAAATAATTCTAATTAATCATAATTAACTGTAATTATTTATATACATTTCCCTTTTGAGCTATTTTGCTACAACATGAAGTGCATAATTAAGTGCCTATTAATAATTAATTAAATCATAAAACCAGCAATCAAAAACCACTTACTAAAAAGATGAAATTTGATTTGTTTAATGCTGTTTTATTTGTTTTATTTTGTCAAATGCTGTGTGGCCTCACAATTTCCTGTAATATAATCTAATCTTATATAATCTAATTACAAGTACCTATTTTTTGTCATCTAAATATGAAATTACAAATGAGATTACATGTACAACCCAGTTACAACCCAGCACTGATGCACAAAGACTTTCTCTCATGTAAAAACTGAAACAATTGCCATTCTCTTTTTGCTATCAAGAAAAAACTGCTTATGTTGTAAGATGTAAATTAGAGGTTGAGACCTGAGCGGCTTCGGGTCCAAAACTTCGACGAGTACCTTGGACACGGATCGGGTTCGGTATTAGCGGCCTCGGGTCTCGGGTAATTTTAAATAAACATGCTTTTTTCCAAATGGACCCAATTAGACCCGAATTCTTTTAAACTATCCTGAATGCGCACTTTCACTTTCGCGTTAAGTGAGGAACGCACATAGAAAAGGAGCATACGTTTACAACCTCGCACACAGAAATCATCTTATAGATATGAGATCCATCAGGAAAATCCACTTGCTTCATTATGCTGCGTGTTCATGCAGGGCTTTTCTTTTTTGTGTGCATGAAGCCTTTCGCCGGAGATCAAGCTGCAGACAACACTAGCGAATCCATGAATTATTGGGCTATCGATTTATTTTTTTATCAAACTATCACGTTTATTTTTCAAATCCATTGGTCACAATTAAAAGCCAAGCTCATAAATAACTTGTATGCATCAGGCAGGCACTAATATAAAGTAGCCTAATAATAAATGTAATAAATGTTAAATAAATCAAAGTAATGGAGAAGCGGCCAAATCAGTCAGCAGGACACCGGGATTTTTCCTGACTGACTGCTGGGCTGCAGGCTGTACACACATCAATGCCGTTTACGTTCGGGTTCGAAAATAAATGCCGTCGGGTCAGGTCGGACTCGGGTCTAATTTCATCGGGTCTGGTTTTTCTTTTTAAAAAATTAATTTATGCACATCGGGTTCGGGTAAGAATTGATTCGGGTCGGGTACAGATTTTAGGACCCGAAAGTACCTCTACTGTAAGTATTAAATTCAGTGGCTACAACAATAAGGTTTATAGAACACACATTAAAGGGTTAGTTCACCCAAAAATGAAGTTAGACAGTTAGTGGAAGTTACACAAATCTGTTTATATCGTTTTAAATATGGATATTTTTCTTACAAAAACGTATCGATTCGCTACAGGAGGCCTTTATTCACCCCCTGGAGCTGTGTGAGGCATGTTTTAATATGGATGGATGCGCTTTATTTGACTACTTTTGAACTGTTGTACAAAAACACCTGCCCAGTGCCATTATAAAGCTTGGAAGTGCCAGGGCAATTTTCAATATAACAGTTGGATTTGTCTGAAAGAAGAAAGTCATATACACCGAGGATGCCTTGAGGGTGAGTAAAACATGGACTAATTTTCATTTTTGGGTGAACTAACCCTTTAAATTGACACAAAACCTTAAATATACATACCTTCATCACAGGCTTATTGATTATAATGTTTTCTGAGATACTAGCAATGTTTATGAGTATCCGTACAATTGTTTGGACAGTCAGAGGAGACTGTGTTATTATCTGATTATTCTGTACTGTAGCGCCACTGAGCTGAGTCACAAACTCTGGTATCTGCTCCACAATCAAGAACTAAAAAGACAAATTGAAAAAGAGAAGAAGAAAAAGAAGAAAGAAATATAAATGTTAGAAATATTTTTTGGACAGCTTATTATTCTGTCAGTATTCACTAAATAGATGATCAACATACTTCAACTTTCCTTTTAAGGTTAAGTATACAGTCTCTTCTGACCTCCATCCAGATACCTGATGTACACTGATAAGTTATACTGCCATCCCAGTTTTTTTCACAGGGTCCTGTCACAAATTGTTTTTAATTTCCAACTCCAAGTGTGTCATTTTTACAGCTAAATTATGCAGTTGGAAAATATTTTATTGAGTTTCAGAAAAAGAGAAAGTCAGTTATTGTTTACTGAAATGGTTATGATGCTGCACCACAAAAAGGATGAAAAGGTAAATGTTCACCTCCTTCTTCTTTCTGAACTGTGACGCTTTTCCAGCCATAACTGAAATCTTTTAGTACTGCGTCCTTGAGTTGGCATGAAAAGGTTTTAATCTCACAATTTCCATTCATTATGTTATGTTTAAGTGTGATGCATCTATTAACTGATTGCATAAAACAAGTGAATAAAACCATTGAATACAATCATGGTTTTCTACTGCAACTGAAAACTGCACTCAGTAACTTTGTAAGAAAACACTGCCTGTATATACAACCTGGAGGTGTCACTTCATCATCATTCAAAGAAAATCCACTCCACATCATAGTTTGCTTCACAGCATGTCAGCGAGACAAGCTTGTCCATTTTTACCCACTATAACATTGGGACTTTCTTTAAGAATTATAGTTTGCCACTGTAAATAAGGTATGGTGTCCCTTTCTATTATACACGAGTATCTACCTTCAAGAAAAAAATAAAAGAAAAAAAGTCACATTAGTTGCTATTGTATGGTTTCAGAAGACCTGGAATTTGGCACACATGGTATGTGCTATATTTTTGTAATGGAGGTTTTTCTATTGAC